GCCAAATGCTTTATAATATAGTATAGATATATATATATATATATATATATATATATATATATATATATATATATATATATATATAAAGAGAGAGAGAGAGAGAGAGGATGAATTATTATACAACCCTTACATTTATACAATTAATACAACTTATTTTCAACCGTCCATTTAATTTGATAAATTTATGATTTCATAAAAAATTTGTTTGTTTTCTAATATAAAGTATTAATCATAATTAATGAATTCTAGTCATCTTTCATAAATATTCAAATAATTACAAATAAACTCTCGATCATTTCCATAAATATCTCAATTGATTGAGTTGCATTGGTTATACAAATGTAACGGGTTACATTCTCTCTATATACATAATATATACTCTCTCTCTACTATTAATACTTCTATTTTTGCTTTGAATTTATAAGACAATAATTCTCAATTTTAAAAAATTAAATTAATTTTTCTAATTTATTAGTTACTCTTTTTTATCCATTAATTAATTGTGCTATTTTGACTTTAGGTTTCGAAGAAAACAATTTTAAAATTTGAAAGTAATATGAATATATTAATTTTCTAGAAAAGATCAATAACTACATAGAAAAGTGTACCAGGTAATACCAAATCAAATTATAAGATACCTGGAAAAAAATTATTATAATTTTGATATAAGAGAGGTTTTAAGGACAAACGTTATTAGATAGGATAGGAACTCATAATCATATATGATTTAATACATGTTATGTTGATCTATATATGGTTGCATTACCAAGCCGTCGCATTTTTTTGGACGTATTTAGTTATATATGATTACGTGTTTGTAACTTCTCGTTTTTTCGCAAATTGATCGTCTTCTCATTTGAACCTGACACTATAGATATACGTATACATATACATATATAGATACATACACACACACACATATATATATATATATATATTGAGATTCTGAATAGCGTAAGACATGGCGGCAAGGTCAAGTCTCAAGCCTTGGAAGCCATGACGGGTCACAACGTTTTTTAAGACGTGACTTATGGCAACAGATTTCTATATCATATATAATATTACATACATAAACATATGTATCATACTATTATTCAATAAATCAATGATAATAAATAATCTAAGTTAAAGTTATATGCTAAAAACTAACAAATAAGGCATTAAAAAGATAAATAAAATCAAATATTGTGTTACAAAAACCGTGCATTATGCCGTGGCATGAAACACAAGTCTTGAGCCACAACACGCCATGGCGACTGTTGCAGCAAGCCTTTTCAAACGGTGAGATATACATACATACATACATATACGTGCACACGCGCGCACACACACACACACACACACACACACATATATATATATATATATATATATATATATAGGGGCTGTTTCAAATAGAAACTAACCATATGATACAAACTATGTGAACCGATCTTGATCGTTCATTTTATCATCAAACGGTTATTATTAAATGAGATTAAATAAACAATAATTTAATTAATGTATTAATTGATATGTGTATGAACAATTGTTCAAAGGGTAAATTGGTCAAACRGTCATTATTAAATGAGTATTAAAAAATAATCAATTAATCATTAAATTAATTGGGCTGCTTATGAACAATTGTTCACAGGGTATTTTGGTAATAAATCCTTACGCATCGTGAACCCTATATTCTCCAGCCGATTTGTAACTTACGATCGAGTATGAACATATTCACAATTCATGTTCACATGTCGGCCCTATGCTCGTGTGAACAGCATTTGTGTCTTGCAATGTAAACACTATGTTCATATGTTCATATATGTTCACATGTCGGCCCTATGYTCGTGTGAACAGCATCTGTGTCTTACAATGTAAACACTATGTTCATATGGTGTGATGTTTTTCAATGTCATACCATATGACATCGGCACGGGTTCGTGTGAATAACGATTGTGTCTTTCAATGAAAACAAGTTATTCATATGGTGAACATATATGAACATAGACTGCAAGAGATGCACAGATATGAACATTTTCAAAATCAAGGATCGTTGTGCATGTGTGCAGATATGAACATAGACTGCAAGCGTTTATCGTCTTCATTATTCTGACATTCTTTTACAATAGGATTCTCCATATATCTTGAACGAAATGAAAATCTTGTACACTTAGACAACCAATTTCAATATATGTATAAAATCAATTGAAATGAAWACCATGAACATGAAATAATAAAGAAAYCATAAAAATCTCATGAACAATTAGATGTATCTTTTAAGATTTGTAACTCCCAATTAATTATTGGGGGTTACAAAAAGGTTGAATTACCAAATTACCCTTATCATTAATTTATAATTTAGATTTGAACTTAAAGTGAAGAAAGAATGTGATTGGTCAAGATCGGTTTTCATAGTTTGTACCATATGGTTGGTTTCTATTTGAACCAACCTATATATATATATATATATATAATTGATCAGGAACAAGGAACCGCATACAACATGACATATAGCATATTAATCAGAAATATGGACGTATGTATGATTCATAATGAATAACAATAACACGTTCATATTCATCATGAATGTATGATTCATGATGAATAACTGAATAACATATATCTATTCATTATAAATGTGTTTTTCATGATGAATATTCATTGTCAAAAGGGACACATAATATATTGTGGACGATTCTCGTGTTCCTAATCAATTTTGAGTTCTTAATTGAACTCTCTTATATATGTACACACACACATATATATATATATATAGAGAGAGAGAGAGAGAGAGAGAGAAAGAGAGTCAAGTTCATACGAGAACATTAATCAAATAAAAGAATAAAAAACGGTCGAACCACATGTGATTTTACACTAAAGTAACATGTGATTCGTGTGACTGTGGCCGCGATCTGAGGTCCCGAGTCATTTCGCCAACACCCTTACATCGACCATTAGTATAAAATTACATGTGATTTTACTCGTACTTTGGTTGTTTTCATATTCTCTTATTTGATTACCATTCTTAGTTGAATATATATATATATATATATATATATATATATATGTATATGTGTGTTTGTCTTTGGGGGATATATAAATTAGAAGAAATCACTTTTGAAACTAATAATTTTCTAGTCATCCACTTGTACTATATTTATTTTACCAATTTAATCCACATTTCTTTATAAAATCTTAAGCTAGTAGCATCCACTGATCTCTTTCTCAATCACTCTCGTAAATATGTTTCATATAGAATCCAAATATTTAGTGCTTATCAACCTTGACAACAACAAAGGTCCATATGGTTGACATACTTCAAGATTATGCTTGGTTAATAACCTATAGATTACCTATTAAATGAAGAGCTAAATTGTTGTTTGATAAGAGCTAAAATAACGCTGCATCCATGAAACTTAGCTCGAACCTTGATTACAAGATTTAGATAAACGTAATCTGTTTACAGGGAAACTTTGGAGGAAATCTACCATTATTTCCAGAAGCTTGGAGCAATGATGGAAGGCATGATGAATGAATACTTAGGTCTCCCACAAGATTTTCTAAAGCAATTTAACGACGATAGGTCGAAGGATGTGCTCATGTGTTGGCAGTACCCTCCTGCAGTTGCAGACAACCCTAAAATGCAGCTAGGAAGAGAAGAACACCAAGACACCAATTGCTTTACATTTCTGCTTCAAGACGACGCTGGCGGCCTTGAATATGAGAAAGATGGCTCTTGGATGCCTGTAGCTCCCATGGAAGGATGTCTTGTGGTTAATGTTGGTTCCATAATTCAGGTAACATCAATTACTATACATGGTTTGAACCGATTTATAGGGTGTCGTTACAAAATCAGTTGCTCTACTTCTTGAAGCACCCTAACTCCGGGTGGGATATACTGCTCCTATTTGGTATCTCTCTTAAGAAAATGAGGGAGATTCCAACATATATCGAGGAGATATGGTACAAGCCTAGTTGACGTGAGACTCTAAAATGCCCCCTCAGCAGAGGCTAGACGAGTGTAGATTGTTCAGGAGTATCGAGAGGGCTAGATGGACCGAGTGACTAAGAACAGACTTACCGTTAAGGGGTTAAGGGGTTAAGGGTATGGTTGTTTGTGAAACTATAAAAATTATGGGGCTAAGTGTAATTTTTCTAGATACTTAAATATGCAATCATAAGTTTTTTTAGTGAAACCTTAATCATTAAAACTTCAGAGGTCTATATGAAAAATTATGAAATAAAACAAGTACATATTGCCCACAGGGTCAAGTAGACATTAGTTGTGACATTATGTGAGAATATGTGGAACCTTATTAGTTACTATCCAAACGAGTCCTTAGATAGAGAAATATATTCCAACATATACAGAAGATATATGGTCCAAGTCTAGCCAATATAAGACTCTTAATGTAAGACTCCAACCAGTTTGAAACAATTTATGTTAATTTCCAACAGAACACCCAACATATGTGTTGCACATTGAGATGTTGCACGTCTTTGCTCTATCATTTTTTAGCTTGAACATAAATGCAACCTTTTTGTTGGGTTTGAAAGGCTTTAACGAATAAGAAACTGGTGGCGGCACGACACCGTGTGTGGAAACCTAAAGGAAGAACTCGACATTCTTTTGCATTCTTTTACAACATCGGGGGAGAGAAATGGATTGAACCATTGCCGCAATTCACAGAGGAGATAGGAAAAGCACCAAAGTACAAAGGGTTCTTCTACAAGGAGCTTTTACAAGCAAGACTCAAGAAAGAGACAAATCCTTCTACATTGCGTGAAGAAGTTCTTGATCTTGATCATTTTGCAATTCCTAGCTAATTAAGATAGAAACAATTACTATGCATGTTACTCAGTGATATATACACTTTGTATTCCATTTTCTTGTGTTTGCATTTTGTGTAGGTACATATAATTTATGTTCCTGTGCAATGTTCTGAAACAATATGTACGAAGTTGCAACACAATGTATAACACGGTAAACCAACACACCATAAAGCAAATAAGAAAAAAAAAATAGATAACCACATTGGTGTTGAGTTTTCTAATACGCCATTTAAGCACAAGCTCAAGAAGCCCAATTTTAGACCAGCAACAACGTTGCAGGCCAATGTTTGATCATCTTATGCTTCTATCATTAACATATATTAGGTGTTGATTTCTCAACTTAGAGATCAGCTAATGTTTCTTCTTTGGGTGCGACTTTGGTAAACTTAGAATCCAAGTTAGGGAGTTTCTATCTAGAGATTTGGTGTTGAGAAATCTATACCCTCAAAAGGCTATAATAACAAGTATACATCGGTTACAAGTATTGTTCAAAACAAGTAATAATGGTAATCGTTCCACGAAGATTTAAAATGCAAAGAGAGTCACAAAAGTTAACTTTAAAATGAGATTTAGAAAAGGGTTTTTTTGGAAACAATAAAGCATTAGAGAGAAAATAACTTTGAGAGAGTTGGTAACCAAATATTGAAATATAACAAAACTAAAAGATAGTATGGATGCAAGATCGGGTTGGATTTCAGCAACGAAGTGCAGTGAATATTGCGACAAAAATAGCTCTTTACAACACTACTGAATTGAACAGCCTTCCAAGGAAGTACGGATTAGACCATTTGTTGGAAGTGCATTTGGTGATGCATCAATCCCAAACTAGTACAGATCTTTCCTTTCTTTTCATATAGTTTTGCAAACCATAAGATTACAACGACTATATATAGCCTCTATAACACACATAGTAGAAATATTTGCGTTGTCTTAATTTTAAATCCAACTCATCTGAATATAATAACATGTGTCAATTTGTCAAAGATTACAGATGAAATATTAATACCACTTGTGAATAGTGAAATAAATTGCTATTAACAAGCAATCATCAACTAACACTTGGCGTAATTTCACAATCTTCACTTACACCCATACTAAGGTATTTAGCCTAGCATGACTGAATGTAAGTGCTTAAAAGTAAATGACATAAATGGAAATGACTGAATGTAAATGACGTAAAAGTAAATTTTGCACGAAATGTAAAGAGAAAGCTGGAAAGGTTGTAGCAACTGACAGTGATGAAAAACATTTAAAAATACTGCAATATGATATTAAAAGTAACAAGGAGCCAAAGCTTAGATGAAGTTTTGTTCCTGATGACAAGGTAATATCGTTCAACGTGTACACACTAAAAAAGGATTACCCCCATATATATATTAGCAAGAGGGAAATCAAAAGTACTAGAGGTTAATAACCATTTGTTATTAACCAATGGGTAATACAAAAGATGCCCTAGTACAAAAGATGCTTAAGTACAAAAGGTTAAGGTATCTTTGTAGTGGCATCTTCTACCAAAATCGTCTGCTATCAGTACTAGAAGATGTCTTCTCCAAAATTTGACTTTTCAAAATATTCAACAGGATTGAGCCAACTGTGCCAATATCCAATGTCCAGTGTTGCAACAACGTACACACCTACTACAGCAATGCTTATGTCAGCCTTTCATTCACCAAATACATAAAACAATATCATTCCCGCATCCTAGCTCCAATAAATGTGAAACCATAAAATAAGACTAAAAGACTCAATATAGAATTGAGAAAGGTGTAAAATGAAGTGTAATAAAGTTATAACTGGTGATAAAATGTATGCTTTAGCACACTTATCAAGATTGTAGGATCTTCGATTAAAGGTAAACTCTTTTGTAATCTCCTCCACATTTGTTCATCAATATACAAGTTCCATCTCCTAGCGGATGTACATTATCTCACTCCATTTGTTCATCATCTTGGTGTTATTGTGCTTGTTTGCATTTACATTGTTGAGTATCAATTTGTATTGAATTCTCTACTTGTTGGTACATTTGAACACATTTACGATCCTCAAATTCCATTTCGATTATTGGGTTGCATCTTTGCATATTTTGGTATTTTGTTTGGGACTTTTGTGCATTAGCTTGTGGAAATTATCCTCAACAAAAGGTATCAGAGCTATTGGGTCAACTTGTGGTGCGTTTTTAAGGCTAATCTCTTGTAAGAGGATTAGTTGATTGTTATCCATGCCAAATGTTCGATAAAATGTCTGATTTAGAAGAAAATGTTTTTAGGTCTCAAAGTGTTGGGTCTTCATCATCACGGCCTTATGTAAAGGGGTTGTAAAATGTTCAAGGAGCCAATTTGCAAATTGAACAATGGAATGGTGATGGGGATTTTGGTAAGCAATGGAAGATGAAAGTCATTTTGATGGGAAATGTGTGCCATCCAGTTGTGTATCTCTTGAAGACCTAGATTCTGATGTATCGATTGTTGAATTGATCGAGATGAAGCAATGGGAAATGACCTAATTGCAGTTTGCTATGAGAGATGCAATGATTGGACAAACTAAATCGGAGGCTACATTGGATGGTATTTAATCCAAGTTAGAGGACTTGTATTTGAAGGAAAATTTCACCAATCGGATGATTCTGTTGGAGTCATGTGTCAACTTTTGTATGGTTGAAGGAAACGGCTTTGGATAAATTTTTGATGAAGATAAGGTCGGTGGAATTGAAACTTGTTGAAGACTCCGAAGATTTAGCCATGATTTTGTTATCTTCATTATTGGATTGATACACAAGTTTAGTCTCATCTATGGTCGAGAACCATATCCATTAATGATGTGAAAATCAGGATTCTCAGTGAGCAACTTCAAAAAAAATTCAAGGATATGGGGCAAGATACCACCGATGATGGCGGTAGTAGTAAAGAGTTATTTGTGGGAAGACAAGGTGAGCATCACCAAGGGAAGAAGAAGAACAAGGGTCGTGGGTGATCCACATCTAGAGGGTCGTATGAAAGGGGAAGTTCTAAAGCGAAAGGTAAGTGCTATTGTTTACAAACGAGGCATTGGGTGAAAGATTGCCTAAAGTTGAAAAAGAAGCACAGGATTGGAGTGGGTTCATCCGTAGAGATGAATGACGAGTCACTTTGTAACGCATCGGGAACCAAAGATTTTGACCAACACTAGGTATTGAATTTTAGGGCGTCATTTCACATGACTCCCGGTAGAGGTTGTTTCTTTGCGTTCGATACCAAGCAAAATAGCAACATTTTGATGGGGAACAATGAGGCATAAAAAGTTATGGGTACAGGGTTGGGGCAGATTCGTATGTTTGATGGTGTCGTATGCACTATTTCTGATGTGCGGTATGTGCCATTCATGTCGTGGTCACTTTTGTCAATCAGACAATTTGCGAAGCTCGGTTGTAAGGAAACTTTTTTTAACGGAGGTTTTAAGATCTCAAAAGGCACTTTGATCACCATCAAGGGAGTAATGGCAATAATAGCTTGTATATGTTATCCTGGCAAGTTGTAAAGGGTGAAGCAAATTATGGAATTCATAGATCGAAGAGTTTGGATGTGGCAAGATTGTGGCATCTTCGATTGAGTCATAATTTAGAGAAGAATCTTGATATCCTTCATCGAAGAATTCCATCCAACAAGTTGAGTTTGATAGAGTTTTTCCCAAAGTGTCTACAAGGCAAGCAAACAAAGGTTTCGTTTGGCACGAGTAAGCATACATCAGAAGGTGTTCTTGACTATGTGCATTCCGATGTTTGGGTGCCAACAAGTTTTTCATCTCTTAGCGTTTGTCATTACTTTGTATATTTCATTGATGACTTCTCAAGAAATTTTTGGGTGTACATGATTCGAAACAATTCAGATACATTTAGAAAGTTCAAGGTATAGTTAGCTCTCGTTGAGAACCAAACAGATCGAACATATAAGTAAGCCACAAACCAATGTTATAAGAGCATTACTCATTGATAACCATACCTTGACATCAACCAAATTCAGTATATAGTCAAATAAGTTAATAGGCTTATAGATAAGTTCACAATGACATCAACGAAAACCGTATGTAGTCAAATGAGATAATGAACTCTTTAATAAGTGCACAATGACATCAACCAAAACCAGTATATAGTCAAATGAGATAATAATTTCGTATATAAGTGCACATTGACATCAACCAAAACCAGTATATAGTCAAATGNCAACCAAAACCAGTATATAGTCAAATGAGATAATAATTTCGTATATAAGTGCACATTGACATCAACCAAAACCAGTATATAGTCAAATGAGATAAGTGCACATCTAATGAAAAGAAATTGACTTCTTTGCTTATGGATCCATTGCATTCTAGCGACAAAATTACACGACTCCAATTGAATGACTAACGCACTCAAAACGTGTAATATATTATATAGTTATGCTATAATTGTATAACCCTAAATGCTTGATATATGACAATTCAAAACCGAACAAGTGTCCCCAAGGCTCATTAAAGTCAAAACCGAGCCAAGAGCTCAACAACAACAACAACAACAACAACCCAATTGACTATTTCATAAGTCATTAAAAGCAATAAAACGTATTTAGCCGACGTCTATGCAAATATATGTTTCTAAGACATGATTAATCCAAAAACACATTATTGATTGGGACAAATCATTTTTCCATTAAAACCATACCATTTATATATCCAAAATAATCCATGACACAATGATATGTATTTTCCAAACCAAATAAATTAAAAATGCATTTATTACCAAATACTCTCAATTTATAAAATAAATCATCAAAAGAACTCACACTTATGATTTATTTACCCAAATGTCTAAAATCCCAAATATAAGCACTTTACATGATTTATAAAACCAAATATACTAAATATGTAAAACTCATCAAATAACCCACACATTTGATCAATAGCAAGTAAAACATGTTAATACTTCAAAATAGACATTTTTGGCATGTACATAATTTTCACGAAGCAACTTGAATTCACCTTAATAGATTTAGGCTAAATCTAGGTTTTATCCAAAACGTTGAGTTTCCTTAGATGAAGACTTTAATTCTCAATATATACTTCTAGATCTAAGATGCAAAGCACTCAAGAACACATCTCTTACTCCTAAACTTCAACAAACTACCATAAAAGAAGAATGAGGTTTGAGGGTGAGAGAAACCAAGTCCTAGATCAAATATGGGGAGTTAGATCTTACCTTCCAACTCATAGGAATCTGAAATCATCATTTATATATTCAAAAGCTCTAAGAAATTAGACCTATAGCCCCTCAAGAACCCAAGGTAGAGAGAAAATGGAGAAGAGGAAAGTTGGATGGAAGAAATGAAGTCAAAACCCAAAAATCGCCCGTTTAAAACTGATAGGGCGCTAAAGCGGGTTTCAAGCCCTTTCACTCGCATGGAAAGACGCCCTTGTCCAAAAGTTTCTGCACTCAGACCCTAAAAACGGGTTTCAAGCCCTTTAACCCGCGTTATAACCCACTTTGACCATAAATTTTACTTCCAAAATGACTTTTTCTTATATCTTAGCATAAAATTCACCCAACAACATCTTCCAATGATGTAACTTAATACAAGGTATATTTTAAGGTCAAAATATCAAATAGAATATAAAGGCACGAAATGACCAAAAATTCTTAGTGTTATAGTTTCTCTCAGAGATTGTTTTTATGGAACAACCTCTGGGATTTATTAATCCATGACTTCCTAATCATGTTTGTTGCCTAAAAAAAGCACTCTCTGGTCTCAAACAAACTCCCCGAGCTTGGTTCCAACTTCTTATCAATTTTCTCATGCAACTGCACTTCACTTGTAGCAAAGCTGACACATCTATCTTTATCTTTCGTCGTGATTCTTGCATACTTTACCTATGTTTACCAAAATTTTCATTAAGTTCTGTATGGATAAATTTGTCTGTCTAGATACAAATTTGTTGTTGTTTACTTTTTTACCTGAATCAATCGTCTAAATGACAATAATGACCGATCTACCCCTCAAACATGTTTGAACTTTATCGCAGTTCAATCAAACTCAAACCAAAATTCTATTGCTCATCAAACCAAAAATACGGAACCGATTTGATCAAAAAAGATGCTCGATGAGGGCCTGTCTTATGGAACCCAGATGAGGATTTCCCAAAATCTGTTGGATCAAAACAGTAAAGTTGTAAAACAGACATGGTGTCGGAGCAGAGGACAATGTTGCCGGAGAAGACGATGAAATCGCAGGAGAAGACGATGGGCTCTAACCAGACATGAAATCTTCGGGGAAGACGGTGAGGCTCAAACTAGACCTGAAATCGCCGAAGAAGACGATGAGATTCCCTCCCGTCGAACAGGAAAACCTCTCCTAAAAATGGAAACTCTCCCTCTTCTGCATCGATCTAGCTTTCTCTATCTCACTCTCCATTCGTTGCTTTCTCTATCTCACTCTCCATTCGTTGCTTTCTGTATCTCTCTCTCTTTCTCTCTCTCTTCTAGGGTTATGAAATGAAAAAGGGGTGCGATTGAAGGGGGAGGCGTGGGATTGAGGGGGTATAATTGTCAATATTTTGGCTTAATGGGGACAACACACCCCTTCCATACTGTTTGAATAAGCCCATATATTTATCATTAAATCGCAAGTAAACATCCATATATAGTTATGCCAATAAGCCAAAACAGCCAATAAGCTGACTGAGTTAAAAGTAAACACCCCCTACTAATGTATGTGGAAAACATCATCTTAACAGACAACGACACTACTATTATCCAACGTTTTATCGCTCGCTTCAACGATAAGTTTTCTATTAAGAATCTTGGTCACCTTGGTTATTTTCTTGGTTTGGAGATCGTTTACACTAGTCATGGGTTGTTTTTAAGTCAAACAAAGTACACCATGACATCTTACAGTGGGCTGAGTTGGTTGACTCTAAATCGGTGGCCACACCACTTTCTCCTAACGAACAATTTATGAGCACTAACATACCTTTTTCTGACTCAAACTCCATATCATTCACTTATCGATGCTTTGTGACATTTGACTATAACGAGACCCGATATATTGCATGTTGTAAATCAGGTCAATCAGTTTCTAATGCCCTGACTGTTGATCAATTTTAGTGTCAAACGCATTTTACGGTATGTCAAACGGACTGTCTCCTTTAAGCTCATTTTTCGTCATTATGCATCACCTTATTAACTTAGGTACTCAGATGATGGTATGCCAACCTCTCTATGTGGTTACTGCGATGTAGAGTGGTCACGCTGCATGGAAACCCGACGCTTGACCAATGCCTACTCCATCTTTCTCAGTGATAACTTAGTTTCTTGGTGTGCAAAAAAAAACAACCATCTCTCGTTCGTGCGGGTTGTGATTTTGAATTCCGTTGTAGCTAATGCAACAGCTCAGATGGTTTGGGTGACCCACATTCTTTGTGAATTACATGCTTAGCCTACTTCACGACCTGTTCTCCTTTGTGACAATCCAAGTGCTCTTTTTCTCGGTCAAAATCCCATTGCTCATAAGCATGCTAAATACGTTGATGTTGACTACCACTTTATAGGAGAGTTAGTCTCTTTTTCGGCAAACTCTCGACTCAGTTCGTACCTACGGCTCTACAACTTGCAGATATATTTACGAAGGGCCTTCCTCAGCCGTTATTTGAGCACTTTAGGTCTAAGCTTCACGTCGCCCCAAGAGGGGAGGGGGTGGTAGCAAGAATATTATAGAACATGATCCAACTTGATCCCCAACCTTAATTATAAATTATTGTGATAATTTTGTTTCCTAAATTGTATTATATTTATATATATGCAGGCGATACATCTTCGCACCATTGGAGGTGATCTTACAAATCCTTATAATGTTCCTAATCACATTTCCCATTGAAACTGTAAACATGACCTTCCATCTCAACATGTGCTTGTATTTACTCATTCAAACTCTATATCCTACTATGCTTCCTCATCATTACTATGAAGTTTTTTTAGGTTTATCACAAGTACTATTCTTTACATGTATACATGAAACTTTTGGCCACTGAAGCTAATTTGTCTTAAGGGGCTTAAATTTAACACTATTACTTACTTACCTACCTCGTAAGATTTTAATCCATGAAAACAACATCATATGCAATAATTTACCCGATAAGCACTTACCGTGGTAAAATTCGTCGTCTTCACTTACCGGGTAAGACTATTGTTCCTTATCTCGTTCTTACCAGGTAAGATTTTTGGTCCTTGTCATATTCATCTAGTAAGGTAATATGACTTGGTAAGCGCTTACCCAAGTAAACATTTGGTAAACGGCCTCTTAAGTGTATCGATGCTATTCAACAAATTCAAGGCTCTCAAGACTAAATAATGACCATAAATTTTATAAGTTAAAGTAAGAACAATAATTTTCTGACACTTCCAATTTCATCATCATGTAGAATTACAACACAGCCCATTTATACATAGAAAATTAAACCAGATTAAGAAAAATATGCAATTAAAAAACAAGTCTTACCCGGTAAGTGAGAGTGACGACTCTTATCCGGATAAGCGCTTACCGGGCTAATTGTTGCATAGGATACTGTTTTGATGTACTATAATCTTATCCGATAAAAATAAATTATAACGTTGATTCTTATTAGTAAGCACTTACCAAGTAAGCATTTGGGTAAATAGGATCTAACTATTATTTCATAACAATAAATAATTTGATTAAAAAAATACCATTTTTAGCAAGTGAAAAAAGAAAAAGAAAATGCATTCCTAATTCATGAGGTCAAAGGCATTGCACTTATCCCGGCTCCTAAACCATCTCTCAACCTCATTCCCATATATCACTTACATTTAGTGTACGAAATGCCCATTCTTTCATTTCCCCTAACAAAAAACATGTCTCAAACCCCAATTTGTCTTTCACTTGCTTCCTTTCTATTTCTTGAAAGTCCCTCTACATCCTGTTTTTCTCATTCCCTTGCGAATCGAGACGTTGGTCGCCACAAGTAGTTTAGATGTTCGATCGGTAGGGTTTTCGGGATTAGAAATTTAACCGAGAGGGAATGAAGGGTCACCTGGATAATAGCATCTAGGCAATCAAGATGTTACAAAGGGCGGCGAGCAACGCTTTCTCGTGGTGGTGGGCTAGCCACATTCGAACCAAGCAGTCGAAATGGCTCGAGCAAAGCCTTATAGGTAATATGCTTCTTTTCATCTCACTATAACAAAATTGGTTTTATAGGATATCATATAACGTCTAAGTGTCCTAATAAATTGTTTAATAAAAGTTAATTTGATAACTAAGACCATACAATTATTAAAATCACATGTTGGACCATGTGTTGGCTAAACTTGGACCATTTCTCATTTATTTCTCATGTATGTATGTATGTATGTATGTTTCTCAAGGACTCTTCTGTAGGGTTTGTAATATAAGGGTTCCATATATCCTCACATCATCCATTGTTAATACTTACAATCAATTCATAACAAGTGAATTGATCTTATCCAAAAGAGCTTTTGAAACAATTCGGAAGTCTAAATTAGGGTTCTAGCTAGGGATAGATGGATATATATATATATATGCATTTTCTGGTTGTATATACATCTTCTTCATATGCAATTTTTATGGATGTTTATGCAGATATGGAAGAAAAGGTTCATAACGCATTAAGCATTATTCAGAAAGATGGTGATTCATTTGCCAAGAGGGCAGAAATGTACTACCGTCACAGGCCAGATTTGATATGCTTCGTCGAGGAAACTTTTCGAGCATACCGAGCGTTAGCCGAGCGTTATGATAAATTGTCAAAGAGCTTGCAGAAAGCCAACACCACCATTGCCTCAATCTTCCCAGATCAAATATCGTATGACGATTTTGATGATGATGATATAGGTCCTCCTAAAAGAACCAGAAACATGCCTCTTCAAAATCAAGGACCAAATGCAGCAAAGATTCCCAAAGTTCCGGAACTTCCGACTAAGAATTTGAAGGGTCTCATTAGCAATGCGTCAAAGAAGATACGAATAACGAATGCATTCAAAGAAGATAAGCCGATTCATATTGTGCCGAAATCTGGTTTGAGTGAAGAAGAAGCACTTGAAGAGATAGACAAGATTCAGAAAGATATACTCGCGATGCAAACTACAAAGGAGTTCATCAAGAGTGCATACGAGAATGGGCTTTCGAAATACTGGGAGATCGAGAATAAGATAAACACGATGCAACAAAGGGTTTGCAGATTACAGGACGAGTTTAAAGTTGCGAGAGTTATCGAGGATGGTGATGCTCGAACTGTTATGGCACAAGCAGCATTAAAGTCATGCAAAAATACACTAGAGAACTTAGAGGAGAAACGAGAGAATTCGAGCCAAGCTGCTAGGTCCGAACACCAGAGAATCGTGGATGCGAAACAGAAAATCGAGGCGTTGAAACGTAAATTTCTTCCAGACGAAGTTGATGGATCAGAAAATGACGAAGAAGGGAAATCACAGATCTCAAATCAAGACGATAACGACGACAAGGAGGGTGTGGCAAAGATTAGAGAAAGCTTAGAGGAGATATCAAAGAAACCTCTAACGGTTTCGAAATTGGCAGACACCATCGACAAGCTTGCAAACAAGGTGATTAGCTTAGAGAGTACAGTTTCGTCTCAGACTGCTAATATAGATAACTTAAGAGCTCAAACTAGTGCTCTTCAAACACAAATTCAAGATTTGGAAGCTGATAAGGCTTCCTTGGCAGATGGGACACAGAATTTGCATAAAAAGTTGAAGGATTTGGAAAAGAAATTGCATAGAGTAGAAGATTTGGAGAACGATGTTGAGAAGCAAAATAGTAGTCTAAAATTATATTTTACCGAAGCTCGTTTTAACATCGAGCATCTCTCCGAGAAGCTTCATGACGTGCAGCCAGATGATGAGATTGAGGCAGGTTCCCCCGACATCAAAGAAGGAAGCGTGAAGTCTGATCTAGAAGATGAAGTTTTTGAAGAGTGTAGCCCTTCCGCGGAAGATCAAGGAAATTGGGAGTCAGAAATTGTTGTAGAAATGTCCATAAAAGAAGGAGAATTGAAGTCGGAAGAAGTTGTAAAAGAGCGAGAAATCCCTTCCACAAACAACGATGACGGGATCAATAATGCAAATACCACCAAGAAAATGAGTGAAATGAACGATATTGATGAGGTCAAGAATGCAAAAACTACCAAGGAAAAGGGGGAAACGAATAATGATGATGGGGTTAAGAATGGAGATGCTAATGAGGAAAAGGGGGATGATGGTGTGAAAAATGTTGATATTAAAAAAGGCAAGCCAAAGAAGGAGGAAAGAAACACTCGCAGGAATGAAGATATGGTCAAAAACTCAGATTCTAGAAAGGAAAACATTAAAGAATCCGCCAACGATGAATCTCCGAAGAAGCCATTAAAAGTATATACAACGACGTTGAAGAACTACAAGGAAACCAAGCGTAAATTAAGTGCAGAAGAGAAAAGAAGACTTGAAACTCTCTTTGAATTAACGGTCCTCGTACGAGAACTGAAGAGTGGCATGATGAAGAAAGACAGCGAGATTCAGATTCTAAAACAGAAGCTCAAACAACTTCAAGACGAATTAGGTAAGCAAAACGAAGAAAATTGGCACGAAGTGAAACAAGAAGATGTACAAACAGAAGTGAAGGAAGAGGACGAAGACATCATTAATATCTCAATCGATGAACCCAAACCCGTTTCAGAGGTTGAAGAGCGGTTAAGAATGGAAATCGATGCAATACTTGACGAGAATCTTGATTTCTGGTTAAGATTCAGCTCTCAGTTCCATCAGGTACAGAAATTCAAGACAGAGGTAGAAGATCTAAAGGAAGAGATAGTAAAAGTGAAGGCTAAAGGCGTCGAGAATAAAATAGGCGCAAGTGCGGAAGGAAAAACGAGCACATCTATGTTCACAACAGATTTAAGATCAGAAATAAGGCCAATATACAAGCACCTTAAAGAGATACAAGGTGAACTAACAGTATGGATAGATCAAGCTGAATCCTTGAAAGAAGAATTACATAGGAGATGTGCTTCTTTAACCAACATCCAAGAAGCAATAACAATGGCTTTAAAGGAAGGCATGCAAGAGGACGAAATCAAGTTTAGTACCCATCAAGCAGCAAAATTTCAAGGCGAAATCTTGAACATGGAACAAGAAAATAACCGAGTTAACGAAGAACTTGAAGCAGGATTACATCATGCAAGGTCCCTACACCTTGAAATAAAGAAGACTCTACGAAAGTTAGAAGAGGAGTTTGGCCTTTGTGACGATCAAAACCCGTACCAACAAAACTTTGTGCGCACGTCATCACGCCCAGGAATACCGTTAAGGTCATTCCTTTTCGGGGTTAAAGCAAGGAAACAAAGGCCGTCTATTTTTGGAACTAGAAACCATCAGAAGAAGGTTCCTACGCCAAGAAGTGGTCGACCTTAAGTAAATCTATATATGTTTCTTTCATCATGACTTCGCTTTAGTTTCCATTTTGTTTCACATTACTCCAAATCTCCACAAAGAACTTGCATGACTATGATCTATGCAAGCTTCATAATCTTGAGGACCAGATCGTGATTTAGATCCCAACATTCACATAGAAACTAGGAGGTGTTATAGTTGTATGTATAGATCAAGATAGAGATCATAACTTTGACTTAACTTGTTGATTTTTGTTTGTGTACTTCGGGGTTTATCTAGAAATTACTACCTCCATCCCCGATTGTATGAGGTGTTCCCTGCATAGTTATTATATTTTGGGACTGAATTAGGAGCTTATGAATTGGTTGTTGTAGCTAATTATGCTTAGATCTCATGAATCTAAGGGGTTGTTTAGTTCATGGATTTGGATGGAATTAAAAGGAATTGGAATGAACCAAATTCTTTGACCAAATTCCAAATACAATGTTTGGTTCATGAATAAAATTGATGGAATCCTTTCAATTCCAATAAATTCCTTCACTCACAGATTTTACATTCTACGACTATACCCTCGGATTTCAATTCCTTTCCGACAAATTCCTTCCCTAATACAAATTCATTCAACATTGCTTCTACCATCTCATCTAATTGATCTCTAGTTCGATCTCCATCTGGCACGCTCTCTCTCTCTCTCTCTCTCGTAATTTATACATCTATACGAAATCGATAGACAACACATGTAATCAAGGAATCGATTCAAGATAACTAGCTATCGACATCACTCGTCCAGTTCCGTTATTCAAAAATCATAAAAGGTCATTTGTTGATATTTAATCCGATTCCAAAGTTGAATTCCGTGAACCAAACAAAAAAATTCCAATCCGTTAAGAATTCCATTTCAATTCCTTGCAACAAAACGCAATCACAACTCATGGTCAAATTCAATCAAATTTCATTTCATTCCCTCAAAGTCAAATTCATTTGATGAATATAAGGAATATTATAGAATCATAAGCAATATTTCACAATCATTGCACAATCTCAGCCATACGTATATTTGGAATGTATACATTGGTCATCCTTAACTTTAGCTAGACCTATTGTATTAGCTCTTTCCTTTCTGTAAATTGTTTATATTAAGTCTTGTATTCCTCAGTTTGTATTATTAAAAACATATCAATTATTGAGCGTCTTATATGGTATCAGAGCTTTTCCAACTCCTCTGAGTTTCGATCCAAGCTACACCGTCTGTTCTCATTTCTCTGTTAGCCCTGCTCACCATGACAACTTCATCTAATATCATTGAGCTATCCACCCATACCAATTTTCCAATCAAACTCACAGCCAATAACTTCCCTTCATGGCGTAAACAAGTTATGTCCACTCTAATGGGATTCGAACTCAAGCAATTTGTCGATGGCCGTACCGTAGCACCACCAAAAACTCTTGTCGATGGCAAACCAAACCCTGAATATCGTCACTGGCTCCGCCAAGACCAGATCCTCCTCGGAGCATTTCTTGGAAGTTGTTCGAATACGATTCAACCAATTATATCTTCTACTAATACATCCAATGAGCTTTTCAAACGTCTCACCGAGAGCTACGCCGGTGTCTCGCGCTCCTGGATCATTTCCCTCCGATCCAAACTTGCTACAAACAGTAAAGGTACCAAACCCGTTGCAGAATATCTCAATGAGATGAAAGCCATCGCTGATGAGTTAGCCTTGGCTCAAAAGCCAATTAATGATGACGATCTCATCGTTCACATACTCACTTACCTCGGTGACGATTACAAAGAGATCTCTGTAGCCTTGAAGATTCGAGAGACACCAATCACCTTTTCTGATTTCTATGAGAAACTGGTGGATCACGAGAGATCGCTACAAGCCTCCAAATTAACACCCCTTATTACTACTGTCAACAACACTCAAAGACAAGGATCCAGACCCTTCTCAAGGCCTTCCTCTGCAGCCCGAAACTCAAATCGGCTCAACTCATCTGGGCCAAGGAACACTAGTGGCCCATCCAACCAACAGAATAGTGGACACATGAATCATTATCGAACTAACCGAAATAAATTTTTTTGTCACTTTTGTAACATCTCAGGTCATGATACTAAAGTCTGCCGAAAACTAGCACGTCTTTTACAAGACCACAACATTAATGGCCCCACCAACCCAATTATGAATGCGTCAATGGCAAGCTCGTCTCAAGTTACACCACCATTCATGTTTGATACTGGGGCATCCGATCATGCTACACCCGACCGGTCTTACTTACACCACCTCTCAGAGTATGGCGTCCCCAACGAGATCGTACTAGGAAATGGTATAACTCTCCCTATCTCTCACACCGGCCATACTTCTATTCCCACTTCCTCTCGCCCATTAAGCTTAAACAATGTTTTACTTGTTCCTCATCTACGTAACCATCTCGTTTCAGTTGCCAAACTTTGCAAAACTAATAGTGTTTCCGTTGAATTTTTTCCTTCTCATTTTTTTGTCAAGGATCTTCGCACGGGGGCGCGACTAATGGGGGGAGTGAACATTAATGACGTCTATTATGCCTCCACCATTCCTCATCACTTCATCCAACAACTCAACTCAAGTATCAAGACATCTGGATCACTTCTCTCTTGGCACCACAAGTTTGGGCATCCATCCATCAAAATTTGAAAACGTTTGCTTCATAACTTAGGACTCGGTTATGATAAAATGTCGAATGCTTCTTTTCATTGTGATGCTTGTTCGTTGAATAAAAGTCATAAACAACCATTTGGAGAAAACTCATTTAAAGCATCTAAACCACTCGAGCTTATTTACTTGGATGTTTGGGGTCCGGTTCCAACTTCCAWTGATGGATATTCATACTATGTCATTTTTGTCGATTTTTATTCCAAATATACATGGTTATACCCCATTAAATGGAAATTGGATGTGTCAAGCTTATTCTCACAATTCAAAGCACTAGTTGAATTTTTTTTTAAAACGCCTCTTGTATCCCTCTTCTCCGACAATGGAGGTGAATATGTTGGATTGATTCCTTACCTTCAAAAGCATGGGATTTCCCACTTTACAACTCCTCCACACACTCTGGAACAAAATGGTGTCGTCGAAAGACGCCACCGGCATATTGTTGAAAGTGGATTATCCCTACTTCATCATGCTCACTTGCCACTCAATTTTTGGTCACACGCCTTTCAAATCGCAGTCTATCTCATCAACCATCTACCCACACAAATTCTAAATTTCCAGACGCCTTATGAACGGCTATACAAAATCCAACCAACATACACCAAACTAAAACCCTTTGGTTGTCTATGTTTTCCATGGTTGCAACCCTATGCCTCATCCAAACTTCATCCTCGCTCCGTCAAGTGCATCTTTCTTGGCTACTCCTCCTCTAAATCGGCATATAAGTGCTATGACCCCACGTCTCATCGTCTCTATCACTCTCGTCATGTTGAATTCATTGACCATATATTTCCATTCACCACACATGGTACCCCTCTAACTTCCCTGCCTACACCTGAAGAATTTATCCCTCCCACTACTACACAACAAAAGATAAAGTCTCATACCACTCCTACTCCATCACCTTCACCTACCCATGCAGACGTCCATCATGTCACCCAACAAAACCCTACATCCACTCCTCTACCTACTCACACCAATATTGACACTTCCTCCACTACAGAAACATCGAACTCATCCCATACAACTCTCTCCTCTCCACCGCCCTCTTCACCTGCCACCACTTCAACCATGAACACTCCTATAACTGACACCACCACTTTCCCCTCTCCCACTGCCACCCCCGACACACCTTCGCCTTCTTCACAACCAAATCCACCCTCTCCTCGCCCATAATGAAACCGCAAACCAAATCCTAAATACTATAATTCTAATACCGTAAATACTACCACACTCCATCCACTCCAACCCACCCTTGAACCCACCACTTATATTCAAGCCTCTAAAGACCCGCAATGGCGCAATGCAATGGATGCGGAATTTAACGCACTCATTTAAAATCAAACTTGGGAGCTCGTACCCGCGACCGATCATAAGCCCATTGGTTGTAAATGGATCTTTAGGATCAAACGTAATTCTGACGGTTCCATTGCAAAATACAAAGCACGTCTCGTGGCAAAAGGCTTTCTCCAGCAATACGGGAAGGACTACTTTGATACGTTCAGTCCCGTCACTAAACCCATCACCATTCGCACTATTCTCTCCATTGCACTATCAAAAAATTGGTCGTTGCGTCAACTAGACGCTAACAACGCCTTCCTTCATGGCACTCTTCATGAAGATGTCTTCATTACTCAAAGGGTTACATAGATTCCCAATATCCACACCATATCTGTAAGCTCAAAAAGTCCCTATACGGATTAAAACAAGCTCCACGCACTTGGTACGTAGAGCTCACTCAATTTCTTCTCGTTTTGGATTTCGTAAATCTCTAGCCGATGCTTCTCTTTTTATCTACCAACACCAAACTGTCACTTGCTATTTCTTGGTTTATGTGGACGACATAGTCCTCACGGGAAACGATTCAAACTTCTTCGATAACTTCATTCAAGCCTTAAGCCGAAAATTCTCCCTCAAAGATATCGGCATGTTTCATCAGTTTCTAGGTGTTGAAGTTATTCCTACACCTACGGGTCTCTTTTTGTCACAACATCGTTACATTAACGATATTCTACAATAGTTTCATATGGATGGCGCAAAGGATGTCATCACACCCCTTAGTGCCTCTGAACCCTTATCACTCCACGATTCATCTCCCTCGGTGGATGCCACCCCTTTCCGGAAACTTGTTGGGTCCCTTCAATACCTAGCATTCACTCGACCGAACATTTCATATGCCATTAACTAGCTGTCTCAATTTAAGCACAGTCCCCGCCACACTCATTGGCAAGCTCTGAAACGGGTTCTTCGGTACCTTAAAGGAACCATCCATCATGGTCTCTTCCTAAATCGCAATTCCACTCTAACCCTCTCGGCCTTTTCGGACTC